CAGCTTAGACCACTGCACCCCAGCTGTTCCTGGGCCCACACTGGGGCCCAGACCACAGGCCTCCCTGAGGCATCTTCTGGAGCTAGGGAGTGGGCAGGGGCTGCCTGAGCTCTCAGTACACTCATGACCATAGCAGCAGCTTGAGAGGCATGAGAGCCAGGGCGAGCCCAGTGTCCCTGAGGCCCACTGCCCCAGTTCACCAAGTCCCTGGTCTTCCCTCCACCTCGCCTTCCCTCCTCGGCTCCATCCTTCCCTCCATCACGTTCTCCTGCGTTCAGCATGGACTGAGAAGCACGTGAGGAAGAGAAACGACAGGCTTTGGAGGAAGGCTGATTCCTACCCCGTCCAGCCGAACCACTCACCAGCTGTGTAATACTCGGTTCCAGACTAATTCTCTGCACCTCAGTTTCCCCACCTATAAAGTGAGGATGTGTATGAGAATTAGCAATGATCATAAAACAATCGAAACATTGGTAGGCGCCCCCATTAAGAGTTCCTCCTCTGAGCTGAGCCATGTGCAGGAAGCTGGGACGCAGGCCAAGGAGATTCACCTGCTGTTCTTACCGAGCTCGCAGACCTGGCGGGAGACAAGTCCTTACAGATGGGCGGCTACAGTGCTTCGTGATCTGATGTGACAAGTGCTCAAAGGCTGTGGAAGCCCAGAGGAGGGCAAGTCTAATGCACTGGGGTGTCAAGGAAGGGTTCATGGAGGAGGTGACAGTGGAGTTGGGCTTTGAATGGTAAATAGGACTTTGTACTGCAGAGAAGGAAGCAGTGATCATTCCAAAAAAAAGTCTCAAGGGTGAAAAATAAGCTGATCTGTTCAGGGCATAATGAGAAGTTCAGTGTGTTTGGAGCAGTGAACATGCAAGACATGGCAGGAGGTGACACTGGACAGAGATGAGGACCCAGTGGGGAAGCCCCTGGAATTCCATGGTAGGAGTTTAACCTGCCCTGTCAGACAAAAGCAATGGGGAGCCATTAAGCTCAGAGAAAGGGAGGTGTGGGGGGGGGCGGGGGGATGCGATGGTGATGTATGTGTGGTGATGGCAGGGACCGGAAAGGAAACAGCCTGGAGGTTGAAGGGACCCAGTCAGAGACAGGGAGAGCAATGAAGCAGCAGCAGTGGGGATGGACAGGAGAAGAGGATTTCAGGAGAGCATTTGGGAAGAAGTAGTTAAGGCTTGGAGAGAAGCTTAATACAGGAAGCAGCATAGCCTCGTGGTTAAGTTCATGGACTCTGTGGCCCTTCTGCTTGGCTTCAACTCTCAGCCCCATCACCTACTGGCTGTGTGGGCTTAGACATGTTATCTCACCTCTCTGAGCTTTGGGGTTTTCATCTATAAAACAGAGATAGTATGAGTATTTACCTCTGCGTGGTGTTGCCAAACTGTATACACTAGCACTTGGAATGATGTTTCATCCATTCAACATTATGGAGCAACTGCTACATACCTTTGGAGTTATTTCAATGGGTAGTGGATTCAGCTGTGATCAAATGAAAACAAAATCCACGCCCTCGTTGAAGATTACACTCTAGAGAGTTGGGGAGACACATTTAATAAGATCAATAAGCAGAATATACAGTATGTCACATGGCGATAAGTGCTAATGAAAAAACAAATAAGAAAATAGGGGTAGGAAGCGGTGAGAGGTTGCGATTTTAAGAGCAACCTAGGTACCTGAGTGAGTGGTGTCGGAGACGGAGTGATGATCATGGACAGTGTCTCAAGCTCAGGGCATGAGAGTGGAAATGGGAGGCTGAACTGGAAGAGAAGCAAGGCCTACAAAGATGCCGGGGTCAGGGGATAAAAGCCCAGGGAGCTGGAGGCACCGTTCCCGTGGATGCTAGAGTCATCCAGAGTGATGGCAGGGCTCGGGAAGCAGAGGAAGCCCTGAGCCAGGTGCCAAGGGTTTGATAAATGGAGGTTGTGATTGGTATCTTGGAGATGGTAAGCAACAAAGGTGGGAGGGGAGGTAGCCAAAAGGCATCATCCTCTGCCCCCACTCCCAAGGAGAAGAGGTTTTATAGGAGGCTAGAACAGAGATGCTCTTAGAGCAGCGAGTGAGACCAAAAAGTGCACCCACCCCACCTCCTCACTCTGAGGGGTGATGAGGAATAAGCAGCCCCTCCTGGGAAGGAAGCAGGTCCTCGGACAAGGACACAGAAAGAGTCTCAGGAGAGGCACAGGATACAGGAAACCTGCTGGCTACTCAGTGGTGATTGCAGAAAGTGCAGTGGGAGGTTTAAAGAGGTGGTGATGGCCAGGGGCTGGCTCGGGGCTGCAGAGCATCCTCTATGGACTGATGGTCTGTTAGAAGTTAGGGCCCACATGCTGGTGGGGAGGGTGTATTTGGGGTCTCGAATGATTAACCTTTAGATAAGAGACTAATGGATTTAGCTTTAACTTCCTGGTGGCCAGAGGACTTCTCTCCTTCAGCTGGACCAATGGGAAACCCAGAAACATTCAGCTTTGCATTGTGATTATATATTGATTCATTCATTCAACAAATATTTATTCACCACCTACTAACAGTACAAGGACTATTCAAGGTACCTGGGATATACCTGTGAGAAAAACAGGCCCAAATCCTTGTCTTAGTTGAGGGGAGGCAGATGACAAGCAATAAGCATAATCAATATTTTATATATAGTATTTTAGTGATATGTGCTATGGAAAATATAAAAACAGAACACGATGAAGGATTGGAAGTAAAGTGGGGGGATGGGTTGCAAGTTTGTTTGTTTGTTTGTTTATTAGGTGAGGCAACCGTTTGTCACCTCACAGATTGCAAGGACCTTGTCAGCTTACTATCCCTTATTTTTTATTTTTTACATTTTACGCCTACAGCACTCAGTCTTCCTAAGTGGTCTCCCATTCAAGTACTAACCAGGCCTGACCCTGCTTAGCTTCCAAGATCAGATGGGATTGGGCTTGTGGGTTGCAGGTTTAAATGCAGTATTAAGGGTAGGCCTTCCTCCACTCTGCAGTCTCCTCTGCCACTAGATTGTAAGCTCCTTAAGGATAGAACTGTGTCTTATCTTTGTATCCCCAGGATCTACATTCGGGACCTGAAATACACTGGATGAATTGATGAAAATATGCGTTAATTAGGTCCCAAAGAACTTCAAGTTTACTCTTCCCAAGGACTGATATTGTTAAAGGGTCAGTTTAGTGAGTCTGCCTTGTACTCTCAGCATCACTCATCCAAGCCCCACTCCCTGGGTAAGGGGCTGCTCCAGGGAGCCTGGGATGGGCACCAGAGGCAGAGTGAGAAGACTGGGTTGGATAAGATGCCTTTGGCAACACTCTACCCCAAGATGAACTGAAGCTTAAGTCTAAGTTCACCATACATCTGGGTGCTGGTTGCCTGATGCTGCATTCCCCAACCAGCATTCTGGCCAGGCGTGAACCAGATGGAGGAGGAGGAGGGAGAGAGTGTGGGTAGCAGGAGATGTGGCTCAGCAAATGAACTCCGCCATCTTGTCCTTACAGTACTACTCCCCCGGGAGTAGCCAAGCTTTGCTGGGGCCACCGGGACAGAGAACTCCTAAGAGAAGGCAACTGGGGACCCAGCAGCTCCCTCCTGATTCCTTATCTCCCTCCTCCTGTCAGTCAGCCTGCGGGAGATAAGACAGGCCTGAGAGCTGTCTGTCTGGGCCAGAGCCACAAAGGAGAACATAATTAAAAAGATACTACTGGCCTAGAGAGGGCAGGAGCACTAAGGATCCTAGCTGGGGACTCAGGAGGGGAAGAGTTGCCTTCTTTGAGAAAAAGTAGGGTAATCAGCACTCATCGAACAGCCTTGCAAATAAATGACAGCAGGCTACCAGCCCGAGGTTCATACACTGCAGGAGAGGAAAATACAGAGACATCCTGACCGCGATGACCTCAAATTCATATTCCACATTCTCCGTTTGACTTTGCTTCCCATTCCCACCCCACCCCTCAAAGGCAGTGATTACCTGGGGGTGGGGAGGGCAGGTCTCAGGAACCCAACAGAGAAGTGATACATCACCCTGAGAAGTGCTATGAAGTCTTTCACATGGGAATGTGGACAGTGAAAGAGACAGAGTAAACCCTGAGAGTTCAGAGAATTCAGTTCATGTGTCATTCTTAAGAACCTGTGAGTTATAGTTTAAAAGACTGTGTGAACCCATTTCCTTTGATATGGACATACAGTGAGGAAGGGGGATAGTACCAACCCTGCAAAGGCGAGAATATGCTGAGTGAAAGGCCTGCTGGCAGTTCCCAGCCTTTAATCCATAGGTTCCCCACGGTTTTAGCCATAGGGAATGACTGTTGGTTCCTGATTCCCCTTTACAGGTGTGGGGAATGGGCTGTGAGCAATCCCAGCAGAAATCTTCCTTTGTTCTGAAGGTGTCCTCCTGGCCTGGCTGCAGGGCTGATCAGCACATTGCAGTCTCTGAATGTAGCTCGATTAACATTTTAATTCTCTTGCCTCCTCCCTACTTAATGCTGACATTCCTGTATTGACTATAGTAGGTAGATTTACTGAAATTGGAGAAGGGACTTGATGAGCTATTCCAGACCCCTCCTTTTGCAGAAGCATCTACAGTTTAGAGATTATGGGACTGACAACAGGATGGGGTCAGAGCTGAGTCCCTGGCCTCCCACCTAGAATTGGAGTTACGGGTGCATTGTTTTTTGGGGAAAATTCCAGGCTAGATACGAGCCTGCTTGGGCTCCAGCCCTGAGAGTTGCCAACTCGCTGAGTGAATCTGGGCAGGTCACATGTCTTCCAGGCTTGGTTTCTCCACTTTGAAATGGAAAAAAAAAATGGAGGTAGCCATTCTCTTCTTAGGGGTGATTGAACATTATCACAGGTCACTAACTGGGAGGAGATTGGGGAAAATGAAGAGAATAACATTGACCTGTGGGGTCTGAAGTGGGAGAACTGGGCGGAGGAGGAATGAGGGGGGCCCCTTTCTGACCTTCTCGTCTCTTGCAGACTCTGAAGGCTGAGGAGCCAGCGGGATGCCTGGTCTGCTTCAGGTCACAGGGGCAGCCCTGCCCCTCACCACGTCTGATGTCACCTCCTTCGTCAGTGGTTATGCCCTGGGACTCACCGCCTCCCTTACCTATGGCAACCTGGAGGCCCAGCCCTTCCAAGGTGAGGACTCCTGGCGGGGCTTCCCCAGGGCCACCCCCTCCTCCGCGTGGAATCCCCACCCCGACACGGACTAGCTGATTGATATTGGGCAAGTCGGGTCACCTGTCTGAGTCTGTTTCCTCACCTGTAAATAGGGGTATCGTTTCTGGCCTGCAGGCTTCGAAACGGGTCACACATCGGTCAGGATTTGAGCCCACGTTTGGGCTCGGCTCCAGCCAACTGTCCCAGCGCCATTTAGGTTCACAAGGCACGCCCACCTGTGCCAAATGTTCAGTCCTCCACTTTCTCTAGGGAACCTCATAGGAGGAGAGGCCTCAAGACTCAGAGGAAGCCAGGAGTGGCTCTTGTCCCTGTGACTTTAGGGAAGCCGCTGTCCTGCTCTAAGTCAGGATGCTCCTCTGCCTGTCTGGACGCCAGGGTTTGTGGAAGGAACAGATGAGGTAATGAGTGAGGAAGGACAGTGTGGAATAAAACAGTCTGCAAAGATAAATCATCCACGAGGGGCATTCTGGACTGTGGATGGATATTTGCCTGTAAGGATCCTTTGTAAATCAAATTCCTCTCTACTTAAGGGAGCTACAGGAAGGCTGGCCAGGAGGTTGCTGCTTAAAGGCTGGTTGTGGTTAGGGTTCCTTGTCATCCACAGTGATGGGGGCTTCCTAATCCCCAAGCTTCATGTCTTGGGGCCCCACCCTCCAGCCCAACCTGAAGTTCTGAAACCATTTCAGTTCCAAAACAGAACCTTTAGGGGAACTTTCTTCCCCTTCAAAATCTCCTGGGCAGAGCAAATGAACCTGATCTTCAGTTTAAAAAATCCTGGAGAGGGTGGCTTAAAATGAGACCCACTAGGGCCCCAGGAGACTAAATTGCTGAACATCTTTGGGACAATCCTTTGGTTTTCCATGTGTTTCCCCCACATTTTATAGAAGAGGAAACCAAAGCTCAGAGGGACGGGAAGCCAGGGTTTGTGGAGGGCTCACCATGGGCTCCGAGTTGTGCTTCCCGTGTTAGCGGGCAGATGAAGTGAGGTACAACCTTGATCCTCCGAGTGTGGTCCCCACACCATGGGCATCACTCAGGGGCTGGTTAGAAACGCAGATCTCAGGCCCCTCCCCAGAACTACATCAGAATCTGCATTTTAACAAGACCCCCTGGTGATTCATGTGCTCTGAAAATTTGAGAACTAAAGTATAAAAATGTGGGGCACACACTGTGACACAGAGCTTACTAACTAGTAGCTATTTTTTTTCCATTTGCATGGTGATCCTGAGTTTAGCTCTATTATCCTCATTTTACAGATGGGGCTGTGAGGATTAGAGAAGCTAAATGTCTTATCTGAGGTCACCAGACTAGGAAAGGTTTCAGGGCCCAGACGAGTCTACTGATTTGCTACAGGTGGCACCAGTAGCGAATTCACCACACAGATGTGTTTTATTAGGCCCACATAGCAGGTCACATAAAAATCCAGATTCTCACTCTCTCTTGTAAAGTCAGAAGCCCTGGCCACATGGCCTCACGGGCCTGCAAAGTAAGAACTGGCTGTGACAGGGGAACGGCTGTCCCTTTTCCTGTTGCCCCACTGCCCACACAATGCCTGCAGCTGCACTTACCCTGCCTGGCCCCAGAGCCATGAAGTTTCAGCCTGAGTCCTTTCTGGCATCCCCTGAGTACCATCCTTCCATCTGACAAATCAAAGGTTTTGGTTCCTTCCCTGGAGTGGGTCACACAGGGTGGGGCTGGGGCACCCCATGATGCTGGGCGCTGCCCCATAGGCCTCTTCGTGTACCCGCTGGATGAGTACACCACGGTGATCGGCTTTGAGGCAGTCATTGCTGACCGCGTAGTAACAGTACAGATCAAGGACAAAGCCAAGATGGAGAGCGGCCACATCAAAGCCACCCGCATTCGAGCCACAACTGTCACAGGTAAGGAAGCCAGAAAGGCTGTGTCAGAGCCTGGGTCTGGCTGGAGTCTCAGGCAGGCTGAAAGGGTAGTGATGGGATAGGGTAGAGAGAGCACTAAACTAGGAGTCAGGAATCCTGTATCACCCCAGGCCAGTGATTAAACCTCTCTGAACCTCGCTTACTGTCTGTAAAATAGAGGTAATCTTTCCTGTTCTCACCTCAAAAGCATAGTGAGGATTAAAGGAGACCAACAAAAAAAAAAAAAAAAAAGGGGGGGAGAGTTTTAAGATATTCCTACAGAACAGAATAGCTGGTCATTTAAGCTCAGAGGTTACGGAATGAGTCACACCAGAGTTTGACTCCCTATCCTGGTGTTTGCAAGTGGTATGAGCTTAGATAAGGAATTAAACTTTACCATAAAATAGAACTCATAATTATACGCACGCAAAGCTCAACAGCAAGCATGCATGCAGGTTACTCATCACAGTCCCTGCTACCAAGTAAGTACTCAAATCGTGGCTACTGATGCCTGCTATTGAGGATGCTGAGGCTCAGATAGGGTGAGTGACTGGCCTAGGGTCACACAGCATTGGCATTATTGCCAGAGCCTAGGCTTGAATCCAGACCAAGTATCATATAAGAAATTCTTACTTTGACTCTACGATGAAAATGAAAGTGGTCACCTGATCATTAAGACATTCAGGAACCTTTTAATGAGCGGTCATCATGGGTAAGATGCAAAGTTGCCCTCAAGTTGTTGGGACTACTCAGAGCCTGAAAGAATAGGTGACACATGACTAGGAGTGACCATGAGAGGAGGTGGCAGGTGGCTGTGCCAGCAGAGGTCTGGATTATGTCAGAGGACGGAAAAAGGGGCACAGACTGGGGGCCAGGGAGGTGTTCATGGAAGGACTGGATGGATGGGTGAGCCTGGGTAGGTACGAATGGGGGATGGGCCTTTCAGATGAAAGCACAGAACGGGAGCAAAAGCATGGCTCCCGAAGGCGGCGGATGCTTGTATGCAATTCTTGGGAGGAAGAAGAGTGTGGATGGAGATGTGACCATTTGTTGGGGTTTTCATGGTCTAGGTCTCCCACTCCCGGGAGGTATAGCGGAACATACACTGGCGTGGTGTTAGATCCATGAGGGTTTATATCTTTCTTCAACAAATGAGCCATTTGCTGAGTAACTTGGGCAAGGTGCACCCCCACGCTGAGCCTTCAGCAAAACTGGCTACTCAGACCTACCATGCAGCATGCTTAGAGGGCACTAGAGATATCATATGCCCCACTGCTGACTCCAGCCCTGGCACTTAGGAAACACTCTGCAAGAGGGGGTTCCCATCATCCCTCATTCCTACACACCGGGAAAGCTGGCTTTGGATGAGGATTTGGAGCGGATCCTGTTCGTGGTCAACCTGGGGACCATTGCCCCGATGGAGAACGTCACCGTCTTCATCAGCACCTCCTCAGAGCTCCCGACACTGCCCAGTGGGGCCGTGCGGGTCCTGCTGCCTGCCGTCTGCGCCCCAATCGTGCCCCAATTCTGCACCGAGAACGCTGGCCCCTCCAATCAACAAGCCCAAGGGTAAGGAGCCCCAGCCCGGACCAGGGACAGAGTCTCAGGTGGGCAGTGGGGAGTCTGTCCAGTGAAGTCAGGGGTGTGCAGGGCAGTGGAGATAGGAGGCAGAGGTGAAGCTCAGCGCTACGGTGGCCACCACCCGCACTATCACTCCCCCCTGCTCACTTTAGAGCACTTAAGAATCTCCTCGGAATGACCTGGATTGGTACAAGCCAGAATTCCTGGGATATGGACAGCTGGGGATCAGAATGTCCAGGCTTTATCCTCGAATGCACTCGAGAGGTATTCTCTAAGCATCTAGTATGTGCTAGACACGGAGTCGAGTGTTAGGGATCCAGGGCCCACGAAACCAACATGGTTCCTGTCTTTTTGGAACTCGGTGGGAGAGATCATTATCCCATTTATAACACCACTGATGTGGAACTGTTTGTGTACTTGCATGCATAATTAATTATGTGAAAAGTGTGATGAAGGAGACATCCATTAGGCTAAGAGTACGAAAGAGGGACCCAACCCGGGGGTCCCAGGGCCAGGCCGGGCTTCCCTGAGGAGTGATACTTCAGCTGAGGGCTGAGCCATGAAAGGGAAGTAGGAATAGAGAAGAGTAGAGAGGAGCATTCCTACGGGTGAGAACAGCGGAAGCAAAGGCCCTGTGGCAGACGGGAGAGTGAAGGAGAGAGGTCAGAGGGCTGGTGGGGAGTCAGATTGCGTAGGACCTTCAAGGATCAGGTGAGGGCATTTGTTAGCACAACAGAGAAGCCAGCGGCACACACCGGTCTCAGGTCATGGAACACCAGCTTACGTGTCACCTTCGTAAGTGCTACCATGGACACCAAGCCTTGTGTGGTTTAGAGGCAGGGCCTAGCAAAGCTAGGGACATTCAAGACTTTGGTGGATCAGGGAACAAGGGGCCTGGGAGGCCTTGATGCCCCTGAGGTGGCTCCAACAAACTTATTCCTGCCCCTTGTGGCAGGTAGAGTTAGCAGAGGTGCTCGTGATAGAAGCCTGCATCAAATCCCTATGAAGCTTCAGGTTGCTCAGAGAGAATGACAAGAAAAAATAAGAAAAAATAGATAATACCAAGTGTTAGTGAGGATGAGGAGAGAAGGGCACTCGTTCAGTGCTGGTAGAACTGGGATCTGGAATAGCCACCCTGGCAAACCATCTGGTGATACTCAGTGTGTGCCCTTTGACCCAGGGATCCCAGAGAAAGTCTTTTGTTAGTTCAAAAAAGGATATGAATGAATATCTTCGTGGCGGTGGTCCCTGTGGATGTAGGGGGTGGAGGCAGGAATAAATAAGTACGATGTAATATACTTATACAATATAACAGGTGCCCTCGATATATATAACAGGTACCATGTCGGCAGCAAAGACTTTGATTTACAGACCATCCCCTGGACAGGGCTTAAAAACAGCGCTGAGTGAAAAAAGGGGAACAATTGAATGAGATTCATAATATAATGCAATCGCAACCAAATGCCACCACGTATTTTACAAGGATACATGCCTATTAGGGACATATATTAAAGACCTTATTGGGTGTGCAGGTGGAGGTGTGGGGAAGGGAGCAGGATCACAGACAGGGTTGGAAATGACACAAAGAGGGACCAGAATCCTGAGCGTTGGGCAGACACTTTGTTAAGCACTCGCTCAAGACAACAGTGCAGGGATTCAAGAAGTGGTGTGATGTGGTCCAGCAGGAGCCAGACAGACCCGGGCAAGGATGCATGCTCTGCCAAGGCCCAGTCGTGGGAACTTTGGCTGGTTGCCTCATCCTGCCAAGCCTTGGTTTCCCCATGTGGGGGTTGGGGAAGATGGGTCCATGATGCTTTCTTCTGGGGATCCTAGTGAGAACAACGTGAGCTAAGGCCATGGAACACCATGTCTAGTGCCTGGCCCATCCCTCGTAAGCGGCTGTGCCTGTGTCTGAATCCAGGGGGTCAGGTTGAATGGGAGAGTAAGGGTCTGGGGGGAGAGGAAGCTCCTCGGCCCCCTTTTGGGCTAGGCTGCAGGGGTGCCAGGGCTGCCTGGGACTCACCGTCTTCTCTCGATGTCCTCTCATGCTGCTTCCCCCACGGCCTTGGTCTTGGCCGCCCACCTCCTTCTTCTCCTCTCCACCCCCTGCCCAGCAAAGACAGACATTGTTTCGGCACGCGGGCCCTGGATTCCTGGAACAAGTTGTGCCTGGCGACTCTCCTGGACACTGATGTGTCCAACCCCATGGAATATGAGTTCAACTTCCAGCTAGAGATCCGTGGGCCGTGCCTGCTTGCAGGTGAGAGAGAGCTGCCCAGACCCGGAGAGACTCCAGAAAGAATAGAGACCCAGGGCAAGGAGGGCTTCAGGCCCAAAGCCTCCAGGTTTAGGAAAGAAGGGGAGAGCGGGGAAGCCGACGGGCCCAGATGGAAGACAGCCTGGAGCGCACGGGGCTTTTTGGACCCTTATTTCTGGTTCCCCAACAAACAGTCGAAGATGAGTCCCTCCCAAGGACAGATTTCAGGGCTGTCCTCACCTCCACCTCTATGGGAGCATGGTGGTTCTTGGTCTTCATCTGGAGGCTGCAGCCTTCCGGTTCTCACCCTGCACAACAGAATCACCAAGGGATCTTTCAGAATCTTGCCACCCAGCTCCCACCCCGGAGCTTCTGGTGCCATTGGCCTGGGGTGTGTCCTGGGGATTGGATATTTTAAAACTCCCAGCTGACTCTAATGTGCAGCCAGAGTTGGGAACCATTGTTCTGATGGTTCCCCTCCCCAACCCACTCAAGATTTTAAAAGGACACTAGGATGTGGTTTCTTGTCAACGGGTATTTTCCTAGAGCAGCATGACGTTGCAACCCAAGAGGCATTTACGGAGTGCCTACTGATCAAGCGTTAAGCTCTTTCTATCTTTATGTGTCCTACGAGGAAGCAAGTCCTTTGAGCCCCACTGGAACCACAGAGCAGGAAGAACCATTAGACACCACCTATCTAAACCCCCAGTTTGGACATGGGGAAATCGAGGAGGCCTGTCCATGGTTACACAGCAGGTCAGGATCCTCTGATAAAGTTGGAGTGCCAGCCATCTCTGGCCTGGGTCTTGGTGTCCCCCTATCTCTCTGGGGCCTCCTGAGCCTATCCCGCCTTTCTGTGCCTCTTAGGGGTAGAGAGTCCCACCCACGAGATCCGAGCTGACGCCGCCCCATCCGCACGCTCAGCCAAGAGCATCATTATCACCTTGGCCAACAGGCACACCTTCGACAGGCCCGTGGAGATCTTCATCCACCCCAGCGGTACTGTGCCCTGGGCAGGGCCCCTGGGGTGTCTGTGGGAGGGAGGAGATGCTGTTTCTGTGGGGCGCAAGCATGTGGCCCCGTGCCCTGTGGCCAGCCAGGGAGAGGATATGGGTGCGTGGCAGCGGAGAGGAGACCAATTACTTGCCTCCTGGGAAACTTGGCTTAAGCTGGTGGAATTGAGTGTCTCCTGCCCCGGTTCAAGCTCCAGAGGCTCTGGGTTCTCGTCCAGCCACTGCGGCACTTTGCCCTCAGGCCAGCTGAGCTGAGGATCTTTGAAAACTGAGGTCAGTGAGACCCTGACAGCCATGAATTCTCAAGGAGAACTCTTTGCGTCTTTAAGAATTCATAGATTGTCAGGACCTGAAAAGATCAGAGCACCCAGTCCCACTCCCATTTTATAGGTGGGTAAACTGAGGCCCAGAGAGGGGCAACGAGTCACCCATTAGGCTCTCCTGCCTCCCGGGGCCCCACACGGCTTCAGGGCTTCCACGCCCCTCTTCTGACTGGAATCCTTCCTACTGTGAGGATCTGGCCCCAAACCAAGGCCCCTGGCATTACCCTCACTCTCGGCCAAGCGCCAAGAATTGATCTCATCTCCGCAGAGCCCCACATGCCACATGTTCTGATGGAGAAAGGGGACATGACCCGGGGAGAGTTTGACCAGCACTTGAAACGAAGAACGGATTTCATTAAAGGGATGAAGAAGGACAGCAGTGCAGAGCGAAAGGTGAGGATGCCTGAAGCAGAGTCGGGCGGCGGACCTGGGGCGGCACCAGGAGCTTGATCTTCACTGGGCCGATGAGGAGACTGGGCCTGCGTGGGAGTAGGACGTGCCCAAGGTCACACAGAAAGGTGGTGGCAGATCCTTGTCAAAGTTCCACTCAGTGGGCTGGGGCACTGCGGGGCAGAGGAAAGGGACTTCCAGATGCAGCAGTCACCCTGGTGCTACCCTCCTGCCTATTGACCGGTCACCTTCTCCTAGTGCCACCAAGGTGCCTAAACCAGTCAAAATTTTAGGCTAGCAGTAGAAACAACCTTGGTCTTCTCCAGGCTGTTCTACTTCCAAGGGACACCTGGGAACCTACAGCCAAGTGCCCTCCCAGCTCCATCTTTATTCCTGGGCCTCCGTTTTTCCACCTGCTGATGGATCTCTTGCTCTTCCTTCCTCTGAGATTCTTGCTGGCTATTACATAAAGAGTAAAGGCAGAGCAGGGAAAGCTTGAGAAAGATCCTTTCCCTCTGCCTGCCCTCTCCCTCATGAAGCTCAAGGATGCGGAGGCCCCGCAGAGGGGTGGGGGTGGGAAAGAAAATGGCAGGAGGCTGAGCCAGCAGCCACAGCTGCACCTGCCATCTTTCTCTCGTTCACGGCCCCGCACTCCAAGCCGGGTCCTGAATGCCCAGATAGTTTCAAGAATGATGCCCTGCCTCTTTTTATTGCCTCCCTTTTTAGATGAGAAAACTGGGGTTTAGCATCCAAAACTAACTGGTGAGCTGGGAAAAGGAAAAGACTGTTCCCTTGGGTTGGCTTTGGTGACAGCGAGGCTAAGGACTTAGACTTGGGACCGTTATGCTGGATTTAAGAGCCCCTCTCATTTCTGCTGGCCTGACTGGCAGAGGATGATGGCAGACAGGGAATGTACAGGAACGTGTAGGTAGCTTACTGCTCACACCATCCACGTTTTTAGGGATCCTACTAGAAGTACCTGCTTGGTGGGGGATGGGAAGGTATAGATGGCTCAATGTCTATCGTATCATCCCCATGTTGGAGACCCCACTGGAAATACCTGTTCTCACAAAGGCGACCCCTCTTCCAGATGAATTTGTTGGGAGAAGAGGCTGAAGCTAGGTTCTCAAAGTAGGCATGGCAACGCCAGGGGTGCCACTGAACTCTGAGCACTACTGCATGCGGACCATATGGGTGGGGGCAGCCATGGGCCTCCGGGGGCTAGGGCAGGGTGCCCCGCCTGCCAAGCCTTAAATCAATTAGCTCTGAGACCACTGAAGCAAATGAGAATTAATTTTCCAGCTTGAGTTGGTTATGCAAATGCCCTGTATTTTCATGAGCTCCAGGGATAATAGTGATCAACCCGAAGCTGCTAAGAAGTGATGAGTTTATTGTAATTGGATAATGGCAGCTTGAGGAGCCATTAGAGAATCCTGAGCCAGGGCCCCCACTCTCTGAGAAGCAAACAATTTCCCAGAGATGGCTCCTCTCACTGGCAGATGTGGCTTCTGCTACCTTGAGCTCTGTCATCAAAAGAGCTAGGCTGGGCAGTGGCTTTCAGCCAAGGAGCTCAATGTGGGAGGGAGAGTACAGTCCCTCACCAGAGAGAGAGGCGAGCATCCGGAGGGTGACATCAATCAGAAAGAGTATGTGGGATAAGCTGTCAAAACCCGTGATTTGGCAAAGAGTGGACAAATGACACAGAGAATGACACCATGTAGAAGAGATGAAGATGCAGTGAGAAGCACAGACAAATGGAGACAGACACTAACAGACATACACTAACAGAGAAAAATGGAGACATGCACACACGCATCAGTGGCAGACACAAAAGACCCATACCTATTCATTCTCTCATTTATTCATTCAAACACTAAGTGCCCAATAGATGTCAAGCTCTGTTCTAGGGACTGGAGAGGCAACACTGAAAGCAACACATCCTTGTCTTCATGGAGCTTACGTTCTATCACAGAGAGACAGGCAAGAAGTAAAAATATGAGCAAGATCAGTTTGGAGAGGGCTGGGAGCATGAAAGGGATAAAATAAGATGATGTGAAAATGAATTCTAGCACTGGGTGCTGTCTAACCAGGTGTGTAGAGAAAGCGTATCTGAGAACTAGACCTGATGGATGGTGAAGAACTGAAAGCAGAATAATGTTTAGATAACAGAAAGGTGGCTAGTGTGGCTGAACTGTAGGGAGCAGAGTGGACAAAGATAAGGTGACAGGTAGACAGGGGGGCAGTCCCTACGGGACTTCATAAGCCATGGTGCAAGGTATGAGGGGAAGCTATTGCTTAAGCAAGAGAATGACAAGAATGATTATGCTGCCTGCTCTATACAGAATGAACCACAGTGAAATAAAAGTAGAGGAAAGAGGCCAGTAAGAGATTATTGCAAGGGTCCAGGCAAGAGATGAATTTGGGTGGTAGCAGTGGAGACAGAAAAGAGGACAAGTTTAGGATGTATTTTAACTGCAGAACTGGCAATCTTTTGCTGAAGGAGTGGATGTGTGGGGTAAGGAAAAGAGAGGAAGCAAGAATCATTCCTCATCTTTGGTTTGGACACCACTGGGGTGGGTGATAATGTCACCTATTGAGTTGCAAAAGACATTCAAATAGACAAACTGAGAAGCAGACACAAAGAGATGTCCACATAGAGACAGTCAAGACAAACTGAGAAGCAGACACAAAGAGATGTCCACACAGAGACAGTCAGATAAAGAGACAGACAGAGAGACAGAGACAGAGACAGATTCAGAGACAGACAGAGAGAGAGAGACAGAGCGAGAGACAGAGAGAGAGACAAAGACACAGAGAGAGACACAGAGAGTGACACAGAGAGCGACAGAGAGACAGAGAGAGAGAGAGAGAGAAGCCGGGATGGAGAGAGAGAGAGAAGCCGGGATGGAGAGAGAGAGGCAGAGTGAGGACGGAGAAAATGAGACTTGGTGCAGAAAAAGTGGGAGAGTCAGGAAGGAGGGTTCAGCATCATGTTAGGGCCAGCTAAGATAACACATAACAGGGTAAAGAACTATGGTGTTGTCCTTCCTCTATTTACTGACCCTATCTCTTCTGTACCAGGCTCTATGTTAAGCCCCAGAGATGCAAGAGACTTAGGCATGGCCTGCCTTAAACTGACGTACAAGCTAGAGAGGAGGCAGAGATATGACCAAAAAATTGCAGTGTGAGAACTGCCTGGGCCCCTATGACAAACAGCAACCATGAGGATGGCTACTGTTCAGAGACAATGACTCTCTGCCAGGCAGCAGGCTTCATAAGCATTACATTCAATCCATACAACTTGGCGTGTACTCTTGTCCTTATTTCATGATGAGGAAACCAAATAATTGAGTCCACCTGGGAGACTGGGGTAGGTTTTCCAAAGAAGTAAAATTGGAAGAATGAGTAGGAAGTTATTAGTGGGAGAGAATCAGTAAACCAGGGAAACCAAGTTCACAGCCAAGATGAGCCAGAGTGGCTCATATACTGAGTGTGAAAGCTAAAGAAACCGCTATTCAACTAGGACCTGCATGTGTGCCAGGGATTTCCCATCTCTGTGCCAGCTCAGTTCGTTCTCATAACCACCCTGAGAAGGGAACATTATTTGCCCCATTTTACAAATGAAGAAACAGACCCAGAGGCAGGACTCGCTCAAGATCACACAACTGGAAGGTGACAGAGCTGGGATTCAAACCTAAGTCTTTCTGCCTCCAAAGTCCATGCTTGCTGTTGCAACCTGTGAAAGTCTAGCAAACAGAGGAGCCAGGTACAGTCAACCTGAAGTCTTTCATGCAGAGTTTGAGTGAAATCTTGACAATACTTGGGTGAGTAATGGGGGACCAGTGTGAGCCCCCAGGAGTAGTGCTGGACCCCTCGAATGCCCAAGTGAGAGTCTTCCTTTCTCCTCCAGACAGAAATCATCCGGAAACGCCTCCACAAGGACATTCCCCACCATTCTGTCATCATGCTTAACTTCTGTCCTGACCTCCAGTCGGTCCAGCCGAACCTAAGAAAGGCCCATGGGGAGTTTATCTTCCTCATCGACAGGAGTGGCAGCATGAGTGGGACCAACATCCACCGTGTCAAGGTACCTGTTAGAGGATCCCCTCCCCTGGGGTCTAGGGCTCCAGGGTAAATCAGCTGTGCTCCCTCAAACCAGCTTTATCAGCACTTTTGTTTCCAAAAAGCCTTTGTCCACACTTGACCCACTTTCCTAAATGACTATCCATGACTAAGAGGAACAACAACTTTGTTTAAAACCAGTTTAAACAAAGACACTCGAAATCAACTCACTCCCAAAATAAAACCCTGAAGTAGTATGAGCAGAGGTAGAACTGTTGTCCATTTACAGGATGTGAAGTCATCAACATCTTTCCTTGGCATTCTACAACCTTTGTTGAGTGCCCACTCAGACTAAAACATCTCATGAGGTACTGAGTAGAGAAGGGTACAGAGAAGAGAAGAAGGAAACTAACATTTGCTGAGGGCCTACTACGTGTCAGATATTGTGCTAGCTACTTCATGTACAGCTAGCTGTTTAATCCAGACAATCATCTTATGAGGTTGGTCCCATTGTCACCCGTTTCCAAAGGGGAAAACCCATCCTGAGAATTATAATAACCTACCCAAGGTCACACGGTGAGCGTGGTGTAAACTAAACCCATGTCTGTCTGACCGTCCCTACCACCTGACATCAGAGAGTCACTGGACATGGCCCCTACGCCATCATGGAATGTATAGAATCTGGTAGAAAAGATTTGGTTTATCTTCCACCCCCCCTCCCAAATGCCTAATATGTACAAAGCCCTAGGCTTGGCCATCTAGAAAGACATTAGGTTTTTAACACGGTTCCTGACAATCAAGTTGCTAACAGCCGAGCAAGGGGCACAGCCCTGCTAACAGTCATGCCTGGGAGCATGGTCTCACCTGTGGAGAGTTCTGAAGGAGTGCAGAAGACCAAGTACTAAAAGTCTCCCCCATACAGCCAAAAGCATTTCATCTCCCTCAGGAGACTGTTCACCTCGATTTTGGCATTATCCTACTCTCCCTTGTATTTTCAGCTATACAGATGTCTGTCTCCTCTTCTGGAGTTATAAACTTATTAAGAGAAAGGACCAGACCTTTCTCATCTATCTCTCCCCATGGAGCCTAGCTCTGTTTATACATAAAAAGCCCTTAGTCATGGTTTATTGAACAGGGTAAAGGATCATAGTTCAAGAGAACAAGGGATAAGGGAATAAGAAGAGATAAGGCTCTGTTGTCACCTGAAATTTCATCCCCCTCAGCCCCCTAGTTTGTCCTTGGAGCAAACTCTTGTTTCCAGGATAACTTGATCAGCAATGAGGGGAGAGGTTAGGTGGGATCTGTGTTGCCAGCTAACTCCTCTGTCTTGCTATGATTGTGTTTTGTCTTGAAGCATAACAGAGTAATCATATATGGGACCCAAGTTCCTATTTGAGTCCTCTTTACAATGGGATATAAAGAGGACTGGTTGGTACCTTCTCCCCTCCCTGGCCCTCCATCAAAAACAAATATTGGAATGTGGAGCTGTCCACGGGGCTGGAGTGCTGAAGTACACTCCAGACCTGTGCGCCCATGTGTATTCCATTCCACTGCCATACCAATTTATAAAGCATCTCTTCAGTTACTCTAAATATCCTGGGATCATTAAAAATCCCTTAGAGAGCATTTAATCCATTTTCCCTGCCATTTTCCAGGTAAGAAAACTGAGTCCCCAAGAGCCTGTGTTTTTCCCAGCATCACAGTCCTAGTGAAGGAACCTAATAAGCCTTCCACCTGTTGGTTCATTGCTCATCCTCCTTACATTGATGATATGGAATTATACACACTCTTGCACTAAGACAAACTCTCTTTTCTTATTACGTCATTTCTGCTGCACGACTTAATGAAAAGAGCAATGCCTGGATTCCAGGATCCATTCTGCCACTGACCTGCTTTGTTTCTTTGGATACATTGATTTTCAACTCTGGGATTTGTTTATAGTTTCCATAAAATGAAATGGAAAGATTAAATCAGGGAGGGCAAATGTGTGTCACATGTCCCTCTGTTCCCCTCTCCCAAGCCCAAGGAGTCATCAATAATTGACTATGACATTTTTTATATGTATATATATTGAGCCTGGACTCAGTCTTTATATCCTTCTCATCAGTGTTCCAGGCAGTTACTACCAGTTAAATGGAGTTGGTTTATGAGTAGGAATCTGTTCTGTGATCTAAAGACCTTTATAACCTTGACATCCCAGAATTCTCTGACATTAACTTCCTCCAGCTCTCCTCTCAGTCCCTGTCCCCTTGGAGTCTCTTGTGCTCTTTTCCAGTTCAGCTCACTGACCTCAAGGTCATCCTTTCACAATCCATTTTGCTACACATGCCCTTTTAGAAAAAGGCACAGGAATTCCTTGGGCCACACATCCCCTTCCCCACTGACAATGAGGTCATTGGGGGGTTACTTGGGTCATTAATTGTGGTCCATTAGGTAAACATTTTAGGGAGAACTAGGCTTAGGGAGGTAGGAGAGAATCGAAATCCAAACAGCCATGCTGAAGGGGAAAGTTCAGCCAATTTAATTTCCTGCAGCTGGTCTCATTCTTCAGCTGCCACTTGCTGCCAAAAACATGGCTTTGAAAATTTTAATAGGTGTGAGCAGAGACAATCTGTATAAATCAGCAGAGTCTCCTGCTTGCAGGAATATATGAATTAGTGGATAATGAAAAATATGCAGATATTGACATCTTTCATAGAGAAACAAAATATATTGACAGTCAACAAAGAGACACTGGGAGAGTGTTAAGGCTAATGTTTAATGTTAACGTTCACAGAGGGGGTGGGGGAGGGGCTGCAGGTCTATGCAGCCTGGAAGGCTGTATGGTTTGGAAATTTCCAGGATCCACTTGCAGCTGTTTACTTCTAGATTCTGGGGTATAACAGTTTGTCTCCCTGGGGTGCCAACAATATACAATATGAGAATGAGGGAGAGCCCCCATTCCTAAGTTCTGGGCCAAGGCAGAGCCAACACGAATAAAGATCTTGGCGTTATGCTTTGAAAATCTCAGTCCTATTCTTAGGTTTTGTGATCCAGCGCAATTCCTTAATCCTTTGAGCCTCAGTTTCCTTATCTGTAAAATAGAGGTATTAATATTCATTTTTATTTCATTGGTTGGGTAACAATAACCATTTGCTGAATGTTTAATATGTGCCAGGCTGAGGCTCAGAGGAGTGACATAACTAATCTAAGATCAAGTTAGTAATGGCAAAGGCGAAATTTAAACCCAGATATTTTTAACATCAAAGTGGATCTTCTTAACCACTGTTGCATCAGTTAAATGAGATAATTAATGTAAAGTGCTTAGCACCACATAGTAATACCTTGATGTTAGTCATTACACTGTATCCTCCTCCTTATCATCAATATCGTCATTTTCCCTCTTGTCATCTCTTCCACTTTCCCTCTTTGTCATTATTTTTTTCCATAGACCTTTATCAAGGCCTCCTGCTGTTGCATAATTAATAGATTAAGACTCTTTAATGTTCACAGACTTTAGAGTCCTAGCTCCATTATTTACTATCTGAGTGCTCACCAGCAACTCACTGGACCTCTCTGTGCCTCAATTTTCTCTTGTATAAAATGGGGAAAATATTGTGCCTGCTTCAAGGGTTATTGTGAAGATTATGTAAAGTACATCCTGGGCATTCAACAAATATGAGCTAAAGAGACTGTCCCTTAGGGTGAGTCTGCTGCAGAAAAGCCCTGGGTCCTCCTTTGTCCATCAATTTTGTTTTGGCAGAAGGGCATGGGTGCTGCCTGCTCTCTACCTCCCAGGGTCAGCAGGAGGTGAAGTGCATCTGGCACGCCATAATAGAATGGCTTTGAGAAGTCAGACTTACTACACGGATGAGAAATTTTATGATGATGGCTTTGGTCCAGCCTGAGGTCAGCATCAGCATATTTCTTGATCTGGGGGAGAAGGTGATATTGGGTGCAGACAGAGGGGTGAAAGGCCCGTTTGGAGGCAACTTCTGTGCAGGGATAATAATACTGGTGTGTGGTGGCAAAAGTAATAACTCCTTCCCAATTCTGAAAATCCTTTTCTTGCCTGCTAGGATGCCATGTTAGTGGCTCTTAAGAGCCTCATGCCATCCTGCCTCTTCAATGTCATTGGGTTTGGATCCACATTCAAGGCCCTCTTCCCTTCCAGTCAGACCTACAATGAGGTAAGGAAGGGCAAGGCTGGGACCAGGAGGGAAGGGGTGGTGAGGATTAGATAAAAGGAAGGAAAAAGAAAGAGGAGGCTACCCTGAGACTTGCCTTCGAATCTTTCGGCCCATGTAGGTCCTAGGTGATGCCCAGGAGGAGAGGGCTAAAGAGAAGTTAACTTTGTTTAAGCAGCTTTCTGATATCACAGCCTTCGGACATCCTCTTTGTTAAAATAAAGACTATGTTGGGCAAAATATGGGTGTGCACAGAGAAGGGAACACAGGGAGGAGTAGAAAGAGGAAGTTTATTCTATGCCTACCACTCCATGAAGCCTCTGTCTCATGAGGACAATAGATTTATGCGAGGTTGAGCTCAAGAAGTGAATGGTGAGGGGCAGCAGAGTGAATAAGTGGGTAGGTGGGCTAAGAATGGCACTCTCAAGACTCGAGCTACAATTTGAAACAAGAAGACTGTGACCCCCGCAGCATGTTCAAACTTGGACCATCTTATCAGATCTAGCAATTGAAAGGAAGGAAGGAAGGAGGGAAGGAGGGAAGGAGGGAGGGAGGAGAAAGGAAGGAGGGAGGACTTAGGGACCACTTTTCAATTAAAAATAGCTTTATGGGTTTTCTTAAATAATATATGTTGATTTATCTCACAACTTTAAAACCTAGATCATCAAAAAGAAAATTTAAAATATCTCTCATGATCACATATGTCTGAAAAAAAGAAGAAAAAACACTGTTAAGAGCTTAGTATAAATCCCTCCAGACTTTGTTTTATGCATTTATACATATTTTCAATAAAGATAGAATTAGGCCTTCCATACTGTTCTGTTTTCTAACACAACAGCATATCATGAGCTTATTTCCATGCCAATAAGTACCAATCTGCAACATAATTTTAATAGCTGCCTCGTATTTCGATTGTGACTTACTTAACTAAACCCCTACAGTAGGACAATTAAGTTATTTGCCTTTTCTTCTATTTAGTCATCTTTGCAGCAAAGATTCACATACATCCTTAACGATTCCCTTGGGATAAATTCCTAGCCTTGCTGGGTCAAAGGTACATATACATTTTAAGATTTTTTAATACATGCTGTTACTCCAAGCATGAATGTTGGAAGAGCATTCTCCCGAGCCAGGAGCAGAAGGACATCTGATGTCCAGTGAGAATGTGTCCTTGCTGCAGTGACATCCATCCAATGCCAGTAATCCTTGGCCAGTGGGTCTCACAGTGTTGATCCAGAAGGCAGGGAATCTGAAGCCCAGGTTGGGGAAGTGATTTCCTTACAATGTTGTAGGGATTTAGAGCCATAGTCAAGCCAAGACTTAAGTCTTAAGCTTTCTGGTCTAGTATTCTTTCCACCATACCCCTCGCCTTTTTCATCAGAAAAAGAAAGCTCATTTGTGCTGAGCAGTTAGAGGCTGGATGTGCCACCTTTTCCAGGGTTGTTTATATTTTTAAAGAGGAATCCAAAAGAGACAGCAACAAGTTAATATACCACAAATGGTAGCATTTTCAGGCATTGGTAGGAGTGTTATTGAGCAGAAGCATACCACATGAGTGACCATCTATTCTTCCTGTGCGTGGAGCAAAAATGAAATTAGAAACAGGACTCAACTCCAGTGAGGCTGAACTATATTATCCAGGGGAACAAAAGGACTCGTTCCCCAGGGGGCTTTGTCTCCCCACTACAAGGTGACCTTGGGAACTATCCTCCCTGCTTGTGTCCCTTTCCTGCAGGAGAGCTTGGCCATCGCCTGTGATAGCATTCAGAGAATGCGGGCTGACATGGGTGGCACCAACATCCTCTCCCCACTCAAGTGGATCATCCGGCAGCCAGTACACCGCGGCCACCCACGGCTTCTCTTCCTGATCACAGATGGGGCAGTCAACAACACCGGGAAGGTGCTGGAGCTGGTGCGAAACCACGCCTTCTCTACCAGGTTGGCACAGGCTGAAGGTCTAGGGCTTGGTTATCTTGGGCTGCCCTAGGCTGGGGTTGCCAGAACCAGGACAGCATGGAAAATGCCGAAAGGAGAAGAGAGAACCCTATAGAACTTTGCTTCCGGGATGATGTGGCTAACTTCAAAGTTTGCCTTTTCCCCTCAAAAGTACAGGAGGGATGAGATGTCCACACCTGTATATATAGCTCCCAAAGAGCAGCCTAGGCAGAAAACTTTCCTGCTGCTTTGATTCTGCACTGGGTTGGGAGTTCTGGGCTGTACGTGTGAATTTAAATGCCTATTGTTAGATCTCTTCCTTCTTCCAGGCCCTCTGCCTGAAGTTAGGGTCAGCTGTGAGATAGCTCTGCTGAATAATGCTCCATCCCTTTCTCCTCAAGGGACAAAGATGGCAGAGAGGATGGGAAGTAGCAGCCTTTCTCCTCCCCTCCCCCCAGGTGCTATAGCTTTGGAATTGGACCCAACGTCTGCCACAGGCTGGTGAAAGGACTGGCAACGGTGTCCAAGGGCAGTGCTGAGTTCCTGGTGGAGGGGGAGCGGCTGCAACCCAAGGTAGGCAGAAGGGCCCCAGTCTCTTCTGGTGCTGGAAACTCGGAGGCCCAAACTGATCAAACACAACTCAGTGGTGGAGCTAGGATTTTATCCCAAATCTGAGCTCTCCACTAAGCCACACTGCACCCCAGTGAGAATCAGAGAGGTGTAAGCCACAGAGCAGGCAGCACCTGGGGCTGGTACAGAACACTAGATCCCCTGGTCTCCAGCCACTGGATCACAGGCTCCATCCACTGGCTAGGCAGGCTTGGGACTCCTGAGAGGTCACTGCTTTTACGGTTATGGAGTTGTGTTTGGAGTTATTTCTGGCCACGTTCCTGATAGTGACAAATGGCGACTCAAAAAGATATAAAGGACTCAGAAATCAGGGAGATTATAGTCTTCTCTCCATTTCTTGCACAACTGGCACAAATAATCTAACCCCTAGAAAATCCCTGTGTCAGTCCAGGAACTGGAGACAGCTGAAGTTAAGAGTGCAAGTTCATGGGAGGATAACATCTGTGAAAGAGAAAAGAGAAGGAAACAGGAAGTAAGCTCTGCGGTGCAGATGCAGCACCTGTGAAAGGAAAGGCAGGAAGCAGCATAGGGCAGGGAGAGCCTCGGCCAGCAATACAGGTCTGGCAAGGTCTCAGCCAACCCAATGGGGAGCCGTGGAGCAAAGACTGCCGATCAGGTGGTCTGTGTTGGGCTAAAACTCCAGATGCTAGAATCCCTGCCATGCTCAGTTGTTGCTTGGGGGCTTCCAGGTAGAGCTATATTCTTGGCTCCAAAGCTGGGGCATTGCGTCTGGAGACTGTCACCTAACTGCATTCCTTGCAGCCAAGGGGCACAGTCTCACTTGAAGAGAAATTTCAGAGGACACCTCTATGGCTGCCACAATCCCCAAATCATTTTTCTCCAGCCTTGCAGTACATTTGAGGAAATCAGCCTACGTGATACTAAACTACAGCTGTCATTTATTGAACGCCTATCAAGTGGCGAATACTTCAAATCCAGTATCTTGGATAATCCTCCCAAATACATTGAGAATGGAGAACTTCTATCTCACCTCAACAGATGGGGAAATTGAGGCCCAGGATAGCAAACTGACTTGCTGAAGGTCCCTGAATAGTCCATGTTTTGACTCAAACTTTCTGTGTGTCCCAGACTAGTCACTACCCTACATTGAGTCTTGGATTTTTCTCATTTATAAAATGCTAAGCTTAGAGAAAATGACAGCAAAAATCTGCTCCAACTCTGATATTCTAGGAGTCTAAAAAGTGGCATGTTTACTGCTGGGCAAACCACTCCAAGGCCTATTGTCATTTCTTTTCTGCTCACACCTCCTTATACTCAGACCCACACGGTCTTCGTGCTTCTCATCTGTACATACCCCTGCTCACACATCTCCCCAACCTGTGTTCTGATCCTGCCCAACAGATGGTCAAATCCCTGAAGAAGGCCATGGCCCCGGTCCTGAGCGATGTGACTGTGGAGTGGGTCTTCCCTGAAACCACCGAAGTCCTGATCTCACCTGTCAGCACCAGCACCCTCTTCCCTGGAGAACGGCTGGTGGGGTATGGCATTGTGTGTGATGCCTCCTTATACAGCTCCACTTACACATCTGTAAGTATCTTAGAAATTCCAGAGGTCAAAGGGGGTCCAGAAATCTGCCCATGAAGCCAGCCTAGCTGGAAAGACTGTTCATGGCAGCTGGGAACTAATTAAACCTGGGTTTACAGTTATAGGGTACAGTTGCCAGGCCGTGGGCATTTGGTCATGGTGACAGTGCTTGGGTAAATGTCACCATCTCAATATGTGGTTCTCAAGATGCCTTGCAGCAGAAGAACTTGGGAAACATATTTAAAATGCAGATCATTGGCTCCAACCTAGGTCTACTGAATAAAAATCTGTGAGGGTAAGGCCCAGGAAACTTCATTTCACATAATCTCTCCAAAGTGATTTTGATGAACAATTAATTCAATTCCGAACAATTAATTCAATTCCAAACAATTACACTAGGTGTCTTTCCCTGAACACTCTAGTCAGGTCATAACTCCTTAAACGAGTTTGTGTTTTACTTACTCAGATAATTCTCTTCTATGCGGTGGCAGAAGTGGGATAAAGGAAGGAATTTCTCAATGTGAGCTGGAATTTATGCTAAAATGTGTGCGATTCCCGGAGGAGCTATTTCCTCACCCATCTTGCCTCTTTAGTGAGTCTCTCCACTCCGCACTGAAGGACGCATCATCTTGTTTTGTTGTTTTGTTTTTAAGCAGGAGTCACAAACTCAGTACCTAGAGGAATTGGACAGATATAAAATGAATGACATAAACTTGTAAAAATTAAAAGGGGCAAAAGCCACGAGGGGTAGCAGTTAAACTGAATTCATAGAGAGACAATAAGGAGTGGTGAAGACTGTGGCAAACTGGATAGCACGCGGCCTGTAGAAACTGGGCAGCCCCTACTCAGCTCTAACAAACTACCACCATGTGAGAATGTGGGAGCTGTGTTAACTATGTTTCCAATCTCCAAGAGAAGTTAGAATTTTATGTGACATTTCCAGATTTTAGAATGTTATGGAATCTCTTAAGAACCATGGTCAGTAATAAGGGATGTGTTATGGAGAGTAGAGTGTGCAGCCACAGGGAGAACAATGCTGAACATAATGCTAGTCAAGTCTTTGCACAGTCTAGGCCCTTCTTGGAGGTCTGGAGACAGACCTCGGAGGTCATCGACAGACCCTACCACTAGAAGGGACCGTCAACCCCTTCTGCTGTCCTTCCCCAAGAGACCAGCAAAGTTTTCTCCTGCTACTAGGAGGGCTGTTGGATAAAGTGTACCCTCATGCATTGTTGATGTAAACATTACTTGCCCTCCTGGAAAGCAATCTAGAAATAATTAATGAAATTAGAAATAGATAACTTTTAAACCCAGAAATCCCTTCAAAGGGATTTAAAAAGTTATGTACTTCCAATAATTTCTAACACATAGAAATAAAAGTGATGTAATGGGGTTACGTACAAGGATTTACCATAGCGTTTTTTATGATGGCAAAAGTCTAACACCACAGAGTGAAAGCTTAACAGTAAGAAGTGGTAGGATATTGCGCAGTCAGATGTTTAAAAGAATAGTTGACATGCACGAATTCGAAAATGTTTTAAGTGTAAGATTTGAGATACCGATAAATATAAGTAATATGGTCCATTTTTTGTAAAACAAAAATGATCCCTTTATGGTTTATATGTATGTTTATACTATGGAAAATGGAATGGAAGGAACAGATGGTTCATTCCGTTAATTTAAGTTCCTATTTGGAGATAAAAGTGGCATTTAGAATTACGTTTTTTTAAATTTTAATAAAGAGGATAATTAAAAATTTAAATAATAAAAGTAATATGAAGTCATTTCCTTTCACCATCTCTTAAACAGAAGTCTGCCCAAACTTCCCAAGCAAGCAAAGACTTTCCTATTATACCAGTTCTTCGAAGATGGAATCTCCATCACCTCCCCTCACTTTGCTTACTGCTCTATGGAAGCGCTTTCTGACATCTAGCCTCACGTCCAGCCCTCTTTTCTCCCCTTTTATCCAGGACAAGAGGAGACGATACGGCATGCTGCACTCTCAGGAGTCCGGCAGCTCTGTCTTCTCCCATTCTCAGGATGAGGGGCCCAGCCCAGACAGTGGAGATTGTGCCAAGAGCTTGGGGACACCCTTCAACCTGAAGCAGGCCAAAGATGCCCAGCCGTCCAGCGGAGACTCCACCACCAGTCCTAGTAAGTCTGCTGCTCTGTGAGCCTCACTCGCTTCCCCAGAGGCCGTGATTACTACATTTTACTGAACACGTACTATGTGCTAAGCTTTATACAATCTCATCGAATAGTTAATAGCTGCAGAGTGGGCACTATTATACCTCTTTTACAGATAAGGAAACCGAGACGGGGAATTTAAGTAACCTGGCTAAGCTCATGGAACTTGAAAGAGGTAGAGTACAGCTTTGTCTCCCAAGCTGCTTTACTGTGTTAGTTTCCATTCAGAAGGTGTTTGCTGATCACCTACCGAGGTTAAGCACTGAGCACAGTGTGGGAAGCAAAGATGACTGAAACATGGCACCTGTGCTTCTGAAGCTCTCCATCCAGTGAGAGAGATACAATTGGCCCTAACTCTGATAGAAAGCAGTGACAAGGGCCACAGGAGATTCTAGGCAGCAGAAACTGCCCGAGCAAAGGTATGGAGATGTGACAGCTGGAAAATACATAAGCATTGGTTACTCATCTTCTATGTTTGGAGCACAGAGAGACTTGAAAACAGAGCATAAGAGAGAGTAGCTGGATAGATAGATTAGGGACAGGTTGGGCAGAGCTTTGAATGCCAGGTGAGGTGAGGCACCTAAACATATTTCAGTAGGTGAACAGTGGAAAAGTCAAC